AGAGTTATCCGGCGGCGAATCACCTGTTCACGTCATTATTTTGTTATTATTTTTATTGACTACAACTTTAAAGATGAGGCGATCGAAGTTATGGCAGCTAAATAAAATAATGAGGCAATATATGGTTTGTAATAAACTAGTTCTGCGTATTGATCAGAAAAGTCTACAAACCAAGTTTTGTGTATCTGGTTAGTGCGGCTCAGAAGTATTCGGTACTCATCCAGACGGAACCATACATGGGTTATGCCAATGTTAACATTGTTTCCATAACACAATATTGAATGTTTCAACAGTATATCTCAGTATATAGAATAATGCTTGCCATTTCTTCTTTTTTTATATTTTTTCTCAAAGGCAAAACGCCAAATTTGCATTTGAGATATTATAAATCACTGCGATAAACTACAATAAGCACCTGAAAATGTTTATGATTCGAAAATGTATGCAACGTTTTTTCATATTCAACTAAAAGAAACTTCGGCAATTTTGCCTTCCGTGCACATTTTTTCTGAATTTATAACGAAAAGTTTTACTTTTTGCAAATCACGTTTAACACCTGCGGCAGGTTAAAGTTCAGCAGTTAAGTTAACAAATAACAAAAAGAGAAACAAAAATGGAAAATAGTGTTAAGAATCGTCCGCAAACTTTGCGAATTAAGGGAGAGCAACATTTTCATACTTTATTTAGCTTAGCGGACGTTTCATTTAAAATGAGTTAAACTACTAATGGTACTATAATGGGCGACCGGGCGATATACTACATATATTTTCCAAAGTCGGAATTTGTGTTAGCTGATTACGCAAATCGCCAACTTATACTCAACTAAGTAAACACAGTGAGCTTGCAAAATATATATTGAGGCATCTCCTTAGGCCTTTTCACGGCAGTGCGAATAGTCGTGGACCGTAATTCGTGCGGCTCGTAAATTTCAGTGTCTTCGTTGTCACCGATTTGACTTCGTCAGGCGGACAAACTATACGAGTATGCGGATAAAGTGCGCGCTCATGAAAATATAATGCGTGCCCCTTTGATTAAAGTTTAACTATGACATAGAGGCGCCAGAATGCGAGCACATTTGTCCTCACACCTATCCCTGGGCAAAGTTAAGCGGCAAAATGCTCGGGGCAATTTAGGAATATGAAGATTTATGGCTAGGTAATCGACACAGTAAGCCCATAAATTCGAATACAGTGCGAATGGCAATTGGCGATGAGCCCAAAGGTAAATTGCGTATTGAATGTGTATTCCAACTCCAGCGTTTATGGCTTCGCTCTCTAAAGATTCGCTGGTTAATCAAGTCATCTTATTCTGTACGCAATATTCGCATAAGTACAAATGTACTATACTTGTATATTCGTTTGATGTCTACCTGAGAGAATATTTCAGTGCGTTATTGAGGTCTTTTGGTTTCTCTCTCTTTCATTTGGTTTTTGTACATATTTTAAAACTTTTAGAAGGCCACAGAGAAGTTTTCAACTTTCAAAGTCAAATATATAAAAAATGTTCAGCTGTTTTATATTCCTTACCATTGAATTTTGTTTCTCACGCAGGTGCAACTGATGGCCCAGCACAAAATTTATGACTATGTGACCAATAAATTAAAAAACTTTTATTTGTTAAACATGGGTTAGAACGTGCTGAGTGTTGGCTAATGCTTTGCCCAAAGCATGTGTGGGTGTCGTCTAGCCCAAAAAAACTGCAATTCGATGAATTAACGCCTCTCTGCCGATTTAATTGAAAAGTTTAAAGTTACGCAAGTGGCGCTCGCCTGGCCGACACGCCCATTAGAGGCAATTACAAATGCCGTTAAGAAGACGACGCCAGCCATTTCACACGCACCGGAAGCCATTATCACAATGGACGCACAAAGGCAACTACAATTCTCGCATCCCTTGGCCTTCCCGCTTCCAATTCCAATCCGCTTCAGTTACAACTGCAGCGTCTCGCTGGGTTCTCTTTATCGTTAAGTTAATTATATGTTTGTGCGACCAGAGGTAATTACAACTCGGATTTCATTGTCGTCCCAGCCAGTTTGGCTGGGGCTATGTCTGTGGCTGTCGATGATGTCCGTGAATTGTGCACAACGCACCCGCTAAGTTGTAATTAATTTGAAAGCAAACATCGTACGCCAGCCTTTGTCGTCCCCGCCCCCGGCCCCGGCCCCGGCCCCGCCATTGCCATCGCTCTCGCCTTCGCCATCAACATAGACGACGCCTTCTGATGTGGCTGACGGTCTGCTGCCTATGGCTTCATAGCAAGAACTTTATGGGTCTTGTGTGCAAAATTAACGTATTCACACACACGCACAACAAGGCAGAGGCATATATTAAAATAAAATGCCGCCCTTTTGCATTTGATATGAGCCTTAAGCTGGGCAAGCGACCTGTCAAAATAGACAGACATATGGGTTTATTGCGCGTCCCTTGTAAGCTCATTAGGAGCAAGCCATTACATGGACCTGGACGGTCCGAAGCTCGGACGCTCAGACCGTAACCCACAATTATTCCAGTAAATTTGCTTTGAGCTAGAATATTTACAAATTATGCAAAGCCGGCGTTTAGCGCACTCGTAACTTTGAAAACTGTCAAAATTATCTTGAGCAAAAGTTTGGCGACTCTCCGGAAAGTGCAGGAAAAGTGCAGCGAGCCGAAACAATTTAAAAAAGACCTTGATGCAAAAGCAAACTTTACATTAAACACATTTCATTAAAAAGCGTAAAACAGAGCGCACAGCGCACAATCCATTAAAACTGACCAAATGAGTTGGAGCAAACTTTTCTGTCCATTTTACTACATGGCCGATTTTTTCGGTCGCTCTGAAATGTTTGCAAATCCGTTTGGCATTTTCCAATGCTTACAAAGCTTTTAAACATTTTCTCGAAAACTTTTCTTGTTTGTGACGAGTGTTCGCAACATTTTTTATTTGCAAAAGTTTTTAATAAGCTTATTTTTTAGTTTCGTTTGCATATCCGCTTCTCTTACAGTAATACTTGTAGAAAGGTTCGATTTTGAGAATATGTAGAATATATATTTAAATGTATTCTCCTTTTTAAATAGAAAAGTTATAATTCGCAAATAAAGTAAACAATAATACAAATAATTGAATAATGTATTCGCAATTAATATAAAAAACAACTAAAAACAAGAGAGAACGCTACAGTCGAGCAAGCCCGACAGTGTAATACCCTGTACCCATGTAAACTTCCGTCACTGAGTTATATGCGCCCATAGCAGCAGCAAAAAGAGGAAGAAGAAGAGCGAACTTGTTGCTGCAGTTTGTGGGGGTTGTACTGGCGAAAATTTGTTTTGCTAATAACTTTTCTTAGAATTGACCGAATTGAATAAAATTTTGAACAACAGTAGACAATTATATATAAATTATGTGTGCAAAGTTTGGTTTAGGTAGCATTTGAAATGTGGACGCTATTGACGAAATTCTGTAGCGGGGGAAGGGGGGGGGGGGGAAATTAAAAAAAATAAAATAAACTCGTCCTTAGTCGGACCTAGGAGCATCTGGATGCCAACTTTGGTTATTCTAGCTTTTATAGTTTCTGAGATCCTCGCGTTCATCCAGACGGACAGACGGACAGACGGACGGACATGTCTAGATCGATTTCTCTCGTCATGCTGATCAAGAATATATATACTTTATGGGGTCGGAGATGCTTCCTTCTGTATGTTACATACTTTGCACAAACCTAATATACCCTTTTTACCCTACGGGTACAGGGTATAAAAAACATTCTCGCTGGCACAATAAAATGTATGTTGTACATATATTAACTACCTTTGAACTAGAAATAACATAATTTTATATCATACTATAAAAACATACAAGTATGTAACCTCTCAAATTGTGAAGGCCCAAATCGGAAGATCGAGAACTATGTATGTATACCATGGGAGGCGAAGCTTATTTTTGAATTTCCTGTGAGTTTATGCAACACTAAATATCTTATAAAATTAGAGAGAAATAATGCAGAGCTTAGCCGGAAACATGTCATAAACATTCAACGAGTTTGTTACACATTAATTGGCAAAAAGCTACCTGACTGTCATTTACGAGCCGAAACAGCCGTGAGAGGCATTCCAAAATAAATACCTAGAAGTGTGTATGTTGACATTCTAGTATGTATACTGTGGTATACATATGTATGTAAGTAATTAGCTAAATGTTGTTTGGGCAGCAGAATTCAAATAAAAATAACAACAACTGCCATCAAATATCAGTGGCCATGCAAAACAGTACGGTCTGTGGGGCTCGAACATCAACATGCTATTCCCAAACATCATATCTCATTAGTGGCAGCATTACTGTATTCGTCAGGATAATGAAGATTATCCCTTATATGTATATATACACATAAAGATAAAGATAATTTCGGCTTTTTGCATGTCCATACCATTTTTGTTGTTGTTTTTCTGTGCAAAGGTCAAAGGAAGTGCACAAAAATATTTCTTCTGGCCAAAACATTTAGTGTTGTTGTGTCTAATTGCATATTCGAGAACTGTGATGTTTGCGCTCATGCCTTGGCAATGGACGACAACTCACAATTATTTGAATATCCAGCTGTGCGCTGTTTGATGTCGATGTCGCCTGCAGACAAAATGGATGGCCACAAAGGTCCTCACCAATGCGGCACGGCATGGCACTCACGCTCACGCTCACGGACTGCCCAAGCTGTAATATCTAATTAAAAGCATGTCCATGGAACTGGCACGACCAGCATGCTGTTAATTTATGTAAGCATATTAATGCCATTCGTTGCTGTTGTTCGACTCGTTCTCTTTTTGTAAGACCTCTAAAGTTTTGGCCATAACTTAAAGCGCACACATAAATTTTGCATTGCTCGTTCCATACATCTGCGCCACTGGCATAAATAATAAACAATGCCAGCTACTAAGACATAATTATTCTCACTTTAGTTTGTCCAATCAAAAAATATGTGGGCCTAGTAGGCATTGATTCTTTTTTCGGATTTATTAGTATAAGTATTTCAGTACAGATACACAGACACGGAAAAGTTGTAAAAAAATTCCAGATTTTCTTCTCATTTTGTATTTTTTCCGATCAAAATTTTTAGTGAAAAATGGATGTTGACATAGACGAATCTGAACTGCAAGGTGAGGGCCAATCACCTGGGGAGGGAGCAGCCGAATTGAACCTAAATAATGAGCGCTTGGATTGCGAAAACATGGGTATGTTCAACACCCCCCTAATAAAGATTACATTCCAACTATATACACACTTATCTCAAACAGACGACGTTACGCGAAAGGTTGTCGAAATAATTCGCCCATCCTTCTTTACAATTGTCTTCCGTTTCTTTGGCAATATTGTTGGTAGGTATTTGGAATTTGTAGTATTATCAGTATTTTCTGAAAATGCAAACTTAAACATAATTTGTTTTTTTGTTCCAAAGTCGACGTAGTCCGCACCGTCTTCTAAGCAGAAAGCAATATTTGGAAGCCCATATTTGGAAGATCTCTGTCGTAAAGGGTCCTGTGCCAATACATGCTGTGGCGTTTTCTCCATTACTCCAATGATGCCTCTTCTAATCCTCCCAAGTATGAAGAGCTTTTCTCCCCAAACAGGAGAAAATCAAGCGACTGCTTGGATCAGGACATACTCCTGTCATATCAACATCATTGTCTGGACAATTAGTTACAAATGTGCATTTTTTAGAGAGCAATAAAATATATAGAGTGTCACAATTTAAATGGCTAAGCAACTTGAAAACACACTCCAATCCACATAATTGTAGGAACAGTCCGCGCTATCTACTAATGAAACTCAGTTATGTAATAATTGGAACAAAGGCTGCCTTACTCGTATTTGTATTTATATATTGTATGTAAAGGTTTAAAAAATCTGCTCAATGACAAAATGTGCTGTCATGAACGACCCTCTGGCAGTGACAGGTTTGGGATTCTTGGTTAGCAATTATCTCAGCAACATCACTTAGAAAGTTCTCCATGTTCTGAGGATCGTGCAAAGCTTTTAAGTTGATGTTCTTCTTGTAGTCTCCCAAAACTTTCCAGCGTCTCATGCTGGCAATTACATCGCCGCAAAAGTCGCGTCTATGCTTCTTCTGCCGCTCCAAAATCTCCTGCTGCTGTTTACGTCGCTTCTCTGTACACAAGGGAATATTATGTGGATGCGTAAACTTTGCACGGCCCTCAACTTACTCTCGGCTAGGCTCTGGGTCACCCTCTGGGCATGCTCATCGCGCTGGGATTGCTCGTAGAGGGCAATGACCTTGTACATGCGTCTGTCCATGTCTTTCGTCGAGATCACGTAGTCGTCATGTTGTGGCCCGCATATGCCCGTGAAGTTCGGCCCAGCATAGGGCACATTGGTGTATCTTGCGGCTAACATAAATCGTTTGCGCTGATACTCTGCCAGCGCAGCCCGTGAGCTCATGACGGTGCGCACGCGATCGTTGTGAAAGCGATAGTTCATACTGGCGAGCAACTTTTCGACGCGCGAGAGGCAGCTGGGGATAGACAGGGGCTTGCATAGGTGGACCACAGTCTGGTAATATAGTTTGCCACTTACTGAGAGTTGCGGATTGAGTAGACGCCAGGTATGCTGTATGTGCGTTGCAGATGGTGCAGGTAGAAGGCTATGCAGTTGAGCAGATCCTCGGCCGCACTCCTTTGCATGCGTCGAAGGCTGCTTACATCGTGCACAGTCTGACGCACCCACCAGCCGCGGAAAAGAGCCTGTATTTTAATCGCCGCCCGATTATAGTGCTCAATGATGCTTCTCTGAAGCATGTCCTCGATCTTGTTGAAAAAGTTGTGGCGCACATAAAACCCTCGCCACCATCTCTGTATGGTGATGGCAGCCCAGACTGTTAGGTCCTGCCGTTGGCGATAAAAGTAACCGCGCCAGGCGCTTTGAATCCGTCTAGCAGCCTTGAATTGCATATAGTCCCGGATGAGTAGCTCGGTTCTTCAACGCAGGCCATTACTTAAGCTGAGCTTGGACCATAGGTTTGTTTCAACTTACCGCGAGAGTACACGTTCAACCTTCGGTTCCTCCTCCGACTGTTCATCCCAAATTTCGGTCTCATTCGAGAAATTGCTACAAAACGAATATACATATATTCCATATATCTGGGAATGCATTTTGAAGGCACTTACTCAAAATCGACGTCGTGAATTGAAGCTAGGGTTTGTGTATCCATTGTGGTGGTCTGAATACGTGTGCCCAAGGGCTTGGTCCTCATATCGCGGAACATGGCTGACTATATTCAATGCTATATATATATTGATTGATTGATTGTGTTTGTGGTACCTTACTACCGTATGTACTAAGTATGTATATGTATGTCTTCTGTTTTTTGGAGTAGTGTAGATGTAGAGGTAAGTATAATAATTGACATTAGTCAGCTGACTGACATTTCAAAGAACCCTCGCTTGAACGTCAAAATACTATCTAGACCATTACTGTTTGCATTATTCAGATTTTTAATGGAATTTTCAAATGTTCACAATTAGGGAAAATATTAAAAAAAAACATACGAAATGTGGGCGGGCAATAAAATTTAATTAACGATTTGTCCTCAACGAACAGTAGTTGGCGCATCATTGGTGATACCTATTTTTCCAAAATCAAACTTCAGGTTAACCAACAATATCAATTCCAGAAAAATAAAGAAATATAGCAAACTCTCGTGGAGGCTAAATCACTCAAAAAAGGGCACGAATTGAGTCAACTAGAGAAGAAAATAGAAAAGGTGGATATTAAGTGATCACGAGATGCAACAATGAATCACTCACCAATAATATTGCCAAAGAAATTGAAGAGAACTAATAGAAACAGCTGCCCTCCGCCGCTCTTTTCCTTCGAGTCTTCATTTCTAGGATCACAGCCCGATTGCTCGTTGGTGGTTGCTGGGCTGTCTGCATCCTGAGCTCGCACAATCGCACGCCGAGCATGAGCAGCTCGCTCCGCTGCTTCCATGCTAAATCTACTTCTTTAGAAGTTAAATATAATCAAAATACTTTCTGTTTTCTGACAACTTTTTCTCGACAAAATTCAAAAGAAGGTGTGTACGGATACTCCTGATAAATGTATGTATTGTAATTTCTAGGAAGTAGCTGCTGGAAGCACCACTGTACTAATCACATTAAGTCTTTTACTGATCCTGCGAAAAAGGGAGTGAACAGGAAAGGAGCGGATCAGGGCTTGATTGTTTGGATGAAAGGAGAAACAGTGTAGCAGAGCAAATTATATCCAGAAATTGGAATTATTTCAATCTACATCTTAAAAGTGTACTCCAAACGTATCATCCATACCTTATTGGTTGGCATCATGAAATATAATCTTAAACAAAGCTTTTGTTGGCGTTGTTGTCTTGCTACAGTTTTCTAGTCATTGTTGCTGTCTTTTGAGAAATACGGGTGATTCCATTTTGTTTACGGTTGATGGGTGGATTGTATTTGGTCATTACAAAAATTTGTATTTAAGGTGGACAATGAAATTTCTTTAGAAGTGCCTCACTGTTTCGAAAAAATGTGGATCCGATTAACTAGGAACTATTTTAAAAAATTGGGTCGAAGAAACTTCCAGGTCTATTAATATCTATTCTAAGTAACCAAGCTTATTCGAAATCTGTACGAGTAGGTACGAAAATATTGGATTGTAATGCTTGAAGGAAGCAAAATATGGTTTGCGAAACAGTGAAGTTTGTTGTATTTCAATAGAAACCTTTGATTAATTGATAACCGGTATTTATAAGTTTTGCTGCCATTTTGAGAGGTACATATGTGAGAATATTTTCCTTTTTATCCCGTTATCCTCCTTATGAGCATTGTGCTCGTGAATTGAATCCACAATTGGGCCTGGATGGCAGGAGTCAGAGCCACTGACAGTGCATTAATCAAAAACTGTACAGTATGACTAATTCTGACATGTCCTTTGAGTGCCTGTTGGTTTTGCTATATTTTGGCAATTGTGAGCTACCAGTTGTGTATGTGCACGTCACCTAAACAATACAGCTAAACAGTAAAGCCAGCTACACAGCACACACCTGTAGTACGTACACGGAAAAATACATATACCCACTTTCCCACATTGAGACTCACGCCACGGCCAATATAGCAAGTTAGACTAGTGCTCATTCCTGTGCATTTTATAGCCAGCATTTTGGGGCGTCGCTCGGACGCGCTCGTAAATTCTGCCAGGCCAGCAATGCTGCTCTTTGTGTTGTTCGGGTGTGTACTAGTATGTTGCCGCCTCGCTTTTGATATATGGCTGTAGCTCCGTTACGGGTTAGTACTTTTCAAATTAGATTTAGGAACGGCCGCAGCCAACGTTCAATTTCGACAGCCTTTCCGTTTTCGCAATACACCACTGCCATAAAATTTGAGGGGCGAATCCAAAAAAGCTGGGCAATATTTACACAACACAATTTAATGTCATGGTTAAAGGTGAATTGCCGATCAGTGGAGGCGTTTAAGGTGCAACTTTGTACAGGTCCAATCAGTAAAGGACACTGTTAGAGATGCGATTCGAATACTATTAGAAATATATGTGCTGCACTTTCTGCTAACGGCAGCGCCCACAACTGAGTGGCATATGTTTGAAGTTTAATTTATGCCACAGAGCGTAAACCGGTCCGAACAGCAACAACACCAACAGATGCTGCCCCAATGGAATGGTGCACACATAGGATACCCTGGGGAGACGAAGTCCCCAAAAGGCGGTCAACAGCAAAATGCAGTCAGGTGTAAAAACTAATTTACACAATTTATGTAACAGAACAATGAGAAAGTTAAAGCACATGCACGTATACAAATATGAAACCGCAAGCTCTTTGGTTCAGGTGTATTGTATGCCATTGTTTCTGGGTTTATTTAAGCGGCACAACTGAGCAATTCCATAAATCAATATATCCAAAATTGTGTGCTCTTCAATAAATTAATTAAAAAAGCCTTAATAATAAAGTAGATGAAGGCAATTGAAAATTGGTTAAACATGTTTTGAAAATCAAAGAGATAAAGCAATGCAAATACTTTTTTGATAATTGGTCCAAAACTAAAAGTAATTGTAATTTCTTAAGTAAGTGAAATAAATATCTTAAAACGAAACCTTTACATGGTCTTACTAAAAACATAAAAAACAGGACACCCACCGTGTCAGTGTTTTTGTCCTGTTATAGGACAGGGGGAAGAGCAAAAATTTGTGTTTGAAATGCACGGTTGTGCCTTAGATGTACATGCCGGGTAAAAGACCACAGCAAGAAGTTGGCATAAAATGTCTGAAAACGACCCCAGAAGCTTAGCACCACAAAATCTGTTTATCGGAACATAACATATGACATACAAATATTTTGATTAAGAATTTTATTAAATTTTTCATTTAGATGCGAAATTGTTTGCTATAATGTTGGCTATGGAACTCACATTTGTAATCACATGCTAGGTCACAACTTTGAAATGGTGCTCTAAAATTAAAACTGATTGGCTCGCTCCGGACGCAATGTCAGTTCCAAGCGCATCATCATCAGCGTCAATATGACGAGCACATAAACCTCAGGGCTGCAATCAGAATCAGAGCTACTGCCAACTTGTCAACTGCCTGCACCCAACCCGCTCACGGCACCTTGTCCCCATTCAGAAAAGATAGTGAAAACTGCAAATGGCGTCAAGGGCGCCATAAATGAGAATTTCCGACTCATTTCCGTTGTTTGTGTGGCTCATTTGTGGCGAATAATGAGCATGAGGCCAAATCGGACCAAGCAACGACATGGTTTGCAGCCACAGCCACAGCCACAGCCGCCCAATGTAGGTTATATTGATTTTCATTTAAAGCACAAACTTTGCTCGAATATCCTTCGGCTGCAGCGCATACGCGTTAGTGTGTATGTGTGAATGCTTTCTAATGGCATTTGGTTTGAAATTATTATGAAATTTATTGCAGCATACCTTCAGGCGCACGTTCTTAAGAAGTAGTTAAGGAACGAAAAAAATACGAAATTATAGTTTTTTGTACACCGGAACCATTTCTCATATCGAGCAACGGCCACTTATATACATATCTGGAATTGAGAGCAGCGTTGGCCATAACTAAGATTTAAACTGCTGGCACTTGTGCAAGGCCTATAGTATATTTAAAGGAAACTCAATAACTAGTCGCTTAGATACCACAATAATTTCGACGCGTGCTTGCCTGGATTTATTTGTGCATGCGTGCATAATTAAATGCAACTGCTATACAATTCAATTAGATCGAACTTCGGAAATGTACAAAAATGCTTACAGTTGACCAAAATTTATGTTGCTACCACCCCAGGCACAACCTTGGCACCAACAACAGCTGGCCTCGCTTGCCTTCTTTGGCTAGACACCACATATAAATACAGACATTTGAACTGCTGCTCTAGCCATGTATGTTTGAATATGTGTGAGTAGAAAGATGCATATCCTAACTAGGGCTGGGAACAAGTTCAATTTTATCTAATGAGCTTGCGAACTAATTCGCTGACTTACACTTAGTATGTACGTATTTTCTTTGCATTTTATCAAAGGATCACATTTCAATCATTTGTCATCATCAGAAGGCATCAATTAAGAAAATAATAGAACAATTTAACAATTTCAAGAAATGCCTATGAAGGAACAGAACGTTGAATAAATTGAATGGTTTATAAACAAAATGTCCAATACGGAAAAGTTCAACTGAACTACAATGTACTTGTACAACACTAATGCAGACATTTGTACTCAGCAAAATCGCTCGTAAATTTTTGTAATATGCCGCTGTCGTGGCGCGATAAACGCGACACATGTTGATACAGCAAACAAATAAAATATGTCCCCTAAATGGAGCTTGCGGAAGACGCGCAAACACATAAACACACACAGACAAGTAGAGGCTCCATCTCTAGCCACACTTCGTTGTGGGTTTTTGCAGAGCAACAGAAGATTTATGCAGAAATAATCGTGTGCCCATAAATTATTAGAGGCTAGCATATACAAGATGCTAATCTCAATGTTATTGACAATAAAAGGCATAAGGAATGTTTGCCTACAGAACTAAATTATATTACGAGTACATGCAAACATGTCAACTAAGTGCAGAGAGCTCAGTTTGAACTTCGCGGAAGCTAATCATTTGTATTTGCTATATTTTTGAAGCTATGGGCTAGGGCCTCTTCTTGTTATGATCACCAAAAATACTATAACGATTGCAACACCACCTCTATTTGAAATGATTTCTCCAAACCCTAACGGCAAACAACGAAATCCGATTATTGAAGAACTGTTTAGCAAACGGTTTTTAAACAATTTTGTAATTTGTAAAAGCTGAAAAACTCAAAATAAGTCTTCAAATATTACGGCTGCTGGCTTGTTTCAATATTGTTCGCAAATAATGTGGACTTTACCTTTGACCGTAGAGGTTTGAATTAATTCGTGAAAGGCTGAATTCTTAGTTCTTGTAGTCGAAGGTTAAGCTTTAGAATTTCCCCTTTACTTCCAAAGAGACAGAATAGGTCAAAGTTGCATTATCCGTTCAAAAGCTATAACCAATTATAAAAAGCCACTGAAAGTAAATTAACAAATTGTTCAGGAACCCACATTTAACTATCAACGTTGTATATCTTTCTCCACCTCGTTTAGATGTTTCTTATATTGATATGAATATCGATATCAATGCAAATACTAAAGCCATTAGTTGCATAGAGGCTGAAAGAGACAAGACAACAAGTTTGGCGCATCTATAAATAAAACCCGATAGTACTATACAGCACTGGTGGGAAAAATAAGTATTAAAGCGTTCTCATCATTATCCATTTCTAGGCTACAAACGGTTTCGATTCGTCAAGTATGTTTTTCAATCACGGTAGGCATTGACTTTTTGTCGTGACTTGGCATTTACACAAAACGAAAATTTATCTACATGCCTATGTTTGCGACAAACCCTAGTTAGTGCATATTTTGGCAACATAAGTAAAATTGCGATAAATTTGACCATCTGCAACGAGACGTACTTATAAGGCGCTGCACATTCATTCCGAGGACATTACAATTTTTTCCGTAAGTCACAAAAATCTATAATTGATAGCCACGAATACAAGAGTGTTGTTGATGCAGTGTGGTGGGTTTTATTTTTATAAAGACGGTGGACAATGATCTCTCTTGAATAATTCAGCTTAGCTTTTACATAACTAAATATTTTGATCCATATCTCTGTCTTGGCATTCATTGCCAGATGAAAAATAGTTTCTTTTTTTGCTCACTCATTGAAGCTGCAAAATTTCAAGTAAATTACCAAAAACATATTTTCTAAGACCTGAATGTACTTGTATGTTGGAAACGAATTTAAGCTGTGAAAGTGAAGATCTAGAACTTCAACCGTCTTCATCGGTGATTTCTAGAGGTTTGGTATTGATAATATTTTATAAATACGGGAATAATTTGAGCCTCGACTCTTTGCAGAAGCGAACAATCCTCGAACCTAACTGTGCTATATGGAACTATTTACGATTGGACAGGAGGTAAATATTAAACGCTCTGACGGACGCATACACCCCGTCGTAATCACCGCGAAGAATCGGGAACTCAATACGGTTACTGCCGAATGGACTGAAGGCCCCCACGTGAAAGGCAAGGAAGTGTCAGTATCTACCATATTGTCCGTAAACGTGCATCTTTTGGAGAAAACGAACATAGTACAATCCGAAGTGCAGCCGGTGAAGTCATTGCCATCAAGTAAAAAGCTGACAGCAGCACCAAAAGTAATAAAAGCAGCACCGATGCCATACACCCGTGTGACGAACCAGGGTACGCCCAAGCAGCTGGAGGCCAACAAGTCGGCTATCACTTATCGCAAGCCGGGCGCCAGCACCTCCTATACGGATCATGTCCGTATAGCCGATTTTCGAGCTGCCGCCGACAAAGTTGTTGCTAAGAATTTGATAGCATCGAACGCAAGTGCCAGCAAAAAATTGCCTGCTCCCAAAGCATCCACATTAACATCCACAGGGATTGCAGGGACTGGAGGCCACATGATCACACCTGGCCCATCCAGCGTCCGAAATATCAGCCCGTTTGGTCCAGGAGCAACCACATCCCGCTTGTCGTCGGCAAATATTTCGATGGGTACGCCCCCTCAGCAATTCCCCAGCATGCGCTGCTCTAGCGTCGTGCGTGAGGTGGAACGCATGAAGGAGAATCGCGAGCGACGGCGTGCGTGGCAAAGTGAGCAGCGGAAGGAGAAGAGTGCCCTTATGAATCGCGATCCCGGAAATCCCAATTGGGAGGTGGCTCTAATGGTGCGACAGTATCGCGAACAGCTGGTCATGAAGCCACTGCGCAGTCTCAGTCCACGTCCTTTGTGTGTTCAACAGATAACCGTGTGCGTGCGCAAGCGCCCACTTAACCGACGCGAAATGAATGCCAAAAATGTAGACATCATATCAATACCCAACCGGGACTCACTTATTGTGCACGAGCTACGTCACAAGGTGGACCTGACCAAGTTCTTAGAGCATCACAAGTTCCGCTTTGACTACACCTTCGATGAAGACTGCTCGAACACGCTGGTCTACGAATGCACAGCTCGTCCGCTCATTCAAACCATGTTCGAGGGCGGCAATGCCACATGTTTCGCGTATGGGCAGACGGGAGCGGGAAAAACACACACAATGGGTGGCGAGTTTTATGGCAAACAACAGGACTGCAGCACTGGTATATATGCGATGGCCACCAGGGATGTCTTTGCAGAGCTAGCTTCCCCGTCCTATCGCGAGTTGGGAGCTAAGATTACCTGCAGCTACTTTGAGATTTATGGGTCGAAGGTATATGACTTGTTGGCACCTGGAAAGCCTCTTCTGCGCGTATTAGAAGATGGACGCCAACAGGTGCAGGTGGTTGGCCTAACCGAGATGCCCGTTAGCGATGTGCAAGATGTGCTGCATCTTATTGAGTTGGGTAACCGGGAGCGTACCTCTGGTCAGACCTCGGCAAATGCCAAATCTTCTCGTTCGCATGCCGTCTTTCAAATTGGTCTCCACAAGCCTGACATGTGGGGCACCTTCGGCAAGTGCTCTTTTGTGGATCTGGCGGGAAATGAGCGTGGAGCGGACACAAATTCGGCCGATCGCCAGACGCGTATTGAAGGTGCTGAGATCAACAAATCACTTTTGGCTCTCAAGGAGTGCATACGCGCCCTTAGCCGCCAGTCAAGTCATCTGCCCTTCCGCGGCTCCAAGTTGACCCAAGTACTTCGTGACTCCTTCATTGGGGGCGAACATAACAAGACCTGCATGATAGCCATGATATCTCCTGGTCTGACGTCAGTGGAACACACGCTAAACACTCTACGCTATGCGGACCGTGTTAAGGAACTGGTCGCCAAAAACGACGATGGCACAGAGGACGAAGAGCAAGAAGAAGTCACACAAGTGCAAGAGCCGGTCGAAAAGCTTGATGAGGACGTTGAGCTCGATGATGAAATGGAGAATCTGGCAAATGAGTCTGAGCCAGATCTTGAAATGAATACGAACTCGTCATACTCCCAATTTGCAATTGGCGATGGCGCCTCACACGAAGAGCTGAGCGGCCCGCAACGGTGCAGCAGTAGGGCAGGGGAGATGAGCCCACAAGTGCAGTACTTTGAACTGAGCCCCACCTCGGAATTTAACTCGGTGGAGAATATGACAGAACAGCAGCAGAGCGAAGTTTCTTTGTTTAAGCGGAGCAGTAATCTGGACATTAGTGAAAGCTATACCAGCCCCTATGTACTGACTGGCTCGAATCCAGGGGAGCGAATCAATTTGTGCGATGTAATTGAGCAACACAAACAGTTTAACAAGTTTCTCGAGCAGTTCCTCAAGAATTTTAATGAGCTAGAAACCCAGACGCTGGAGAATAATCCCAATTTCCTCAAATATTTGCATGATGCTGATCAGAATTTCCATGAACTGAAGACCATTGCCAATGTTACGCGAGACTTAGTGGTTACATATAATGCACAGCGCGTAATGGAGAATCTGTTGAATGGGAATGGCAACGGAAGCGGCAAGGCCAAGAACAGCGATGACGATAACGAAACAAACACTATCGATACCGATAACTCCTTGGTGTTGGATGCTCATATCTAAATGCAACAACCACGGAATTCTAGATCCAGTTTTACCGAACAATCTTTTATTTATTTTCTATATTACTGTATTACTATTTTGTTTTCGGCACAGCGTAAGGCAAAATTTAATTTAATAAATGCCGTTGATGAGAATTGGAAACTGTTGCTTCTTTATCGAGTAGTCACTAACAAGAAATGAAAACGGGCGGAGGCAACCGTGTTGTTGCTTATTTGTGAAGGAAGTTAGTTTTATTGATGCTGTGGGAACGCAATAGCTCAAGGCAGCTATTAAACGAAAAGTTTGCCCAACTTCATACTACACTGATACAAATTTATGACTGTGCTGGTGCTGGTGCCGCTACCAGTGCCTGTGCCAGACCGGTCCAGACCTGCGTTCCAAAATGTAATCAAGAAGAAGAACCGGCAACATTTAGTGCTGTTTGTCTTTGCTTGTCAGCATTAAAGCAGTGTAACAGGTCAGAGGTAGTGTTGAAGCAAAAACTTGGCCAAATCAACTAGAAGAACATTTTACGACGGCTCTGGAGGTTGAGCAACTACAACTTTTTCCTAGTCGAATTGTGTGAAAACAGGTTACTCAACCAGAAAGGAAACTCACAACTACATACATACTTGTACATACCTACTATGTACACAGATCCTTCTTCGTTAACTAAAACATGCACATTTACCTGTTCGTATAATTTGTACGTACGAATCTTTTAAAGAGTAAGCAATAGGAAAAGCGTCAGGATAAATAATTAAATATTAATATAACGTGCGGCTAAGTTCTCAGCAAAATTTTAATGAAAAGGGTAAGCGCTTGGGGGACAAATAGTTATTAGCTTCAATCTCAAGTAATGCCATTTAAGACAAAGTGAAATGAAGTAAATAGAGACAATAAAAAAAGAAGAAGAAAAAAAAAAAACAGATTGTATGGCTCATATATTTCCACAACCTTATGTTTGGTAACTCCAATTTCATATTCTTCAACGAGTACTTCTTTTACTTTTAAGATTCGTATGTATCTAGGGAAGTAATAGGCTACTGTTAACCACTGCTATACCGAGCTTCCACTTCGGTTAGAATGGATCTTTTATATAAGAAATATAAGGCTTAAATATATGGCTTAAGGAATGCAATTGCAGCGCTAGAGCTTGCCATTGCAAACCACAAGTCGTTGCAGATAATTTCCTAATGCCTTTAACACTCGGCAGCAAAAGCCGAAACTGGAATCTCCCACAGCTTGCGAAAATTGCAACTAATTTCGTACGAAACCAAATCAGTTGGTTGGTAAACTTTTTAGAACTTGGCACACATACACACCCGCACACACACAGATACACCCAGATCTCATTTCAAAAACTTTAAAATTAGTTAAGTTACGTTCAGCAGTTGCCAATAAGGCCCCCCTTATGTGAACAAACAAATTCATCTACTTATGAGTTTGTGTGCGTGTGTGTATGTGTCTGTGTGTATGTGTGTGTGTGTGTGTGCGAATGCGTGCTTACATTTGTGGATACTCGGCTGAATGGATATGGTTGAGGATGTTGAATGTGGCTGAATTCTTGTGAGTACATCAACTTTTGCTGCTTTCTCACGCTTTGATGTGGTGTTTGTATTACAAATACTCGTACATGTGGATGTGCGCTTTTTTTGGAGCCAAAGTTGACGTAAAAACTTCATCAAACTTTCAATCAAATTAGCAGACATGTGGAGATTCGGGCTGATAAGAAAAACATTCTTTGTTATCAATTCTGAAATGAAATAAATGTTAATTATTTGTAATTCGGTTGATGCACTGCCGCTCAAGAGCTTTAAACTCTTTTCATTTTACTTATTGGGTCCCGTTCGGTCACCCCCGGGTACCGGATGCTGTTACTAAAAAAAGTGAAAGTACATTTTACCAATTTAACGCAACACAAAAAACCAAAACAGCCACAAGAACCAGGGGACAATCTTCTTCGTGTTCTGGCCTGGCTTTTAGCTCTGAATGCAAGCAACCATGATGATGATGTTGTTGCGGATGACTATTATGATGATGATGGAAAAAAAAAGAACTTAAAAAAAAACTTATTCACCCATCCACCCACATACAAGTAGCATTGGGTTCACAACGCATTTTCACGTAAGCTTTGTTGTTTTTTTCCCTTTTTTGTGTTGGTTGTTGGTTGGTTGGGTTGCTTTCAGTTCGCCCTTTCACTTGCCTTCTGCCAAAAGAGCGGCTCGTCTTTCACTCCGGTTGGTTAGGTTTAGCAAACTGGAGCTGAAGCTGCAGTGCAGCACAGAATTTAAGAGCATTTAGAGGGGCAAACGCGGGTGTCGAGGCAGCCGAGGCAACTTGAAGCAAAACACTTAAGTTTTAACCCAAATTGTTGCCAACAAAGCGGTTTGTCTAACATTCTTTTGAGAACATTTTTTGAAAAAGTGTTTGCCTCAAGAAAATACGCACACACACACACACACACACACACACAATAACTCACAGCAACACAGACTTTTACCGAGCAGCCCATTTAAGCAAGGCAACAGCAACAACAATAAGCAACGACATTAAGCAAGTCGCTGGCAATGGGCTTAAAGTTATTGATCTAAGGCGGCAAGTCTTGTGGGATTTGCCAAGAGCCCTAAGCTTGCACTTGAAATGCACTTGCTACCCAAAATGCACGGCGTAATAAATTACAGACTCGTTAAAGCCGTTAACCAAGATATCTGCAGCTTTATGTTACACTTTTCGAAATTGAAATGCAACCAAAAGCAGCACCAATGTGAGCCAAAAAAGAAATGCAGTGATAATAGAAAAGAGCTCAGATAAACCATTTTAGTTTTTTTTTTTTTTGTAATTTTTTTGAAGGTAGTGATGGGCAATGCAAGATGACCTTAAAAACATGACGTGTTCAAATGTTGCTAAACAACTGGAGGGCTTTCAATTTGAGCACTTTTTCTGTTTGGCATCGGTCTGCTCGGATATGTGGTTCACCGACCATCTTCCCCAACTCCCACACATTCACCTGAGCTCAATGTTTGCCGCATATGAAGGGCCGCACTTGAAATTTCCTTTTTTGCCTTCGGGTAATAGCAGCTCACTGACTGGGGAGGACCGTGGTACGCGTAGGAGCGCGAGTGTCGCATTGGCGGTTGGTTTAGCTGGAGGTGTGGATATATGTTTTGACAAGTGTCACTTATGCGTGTGTGCTATGAAATATGCAAAGCTATGAGCGACCCAACCAGCCCACCACTTCATCACTTACACAGCCAACAAGCCAGTGTGTGGCTTGTTGTAGTTGCAATTAAGAAAAGTGCAGACATTGGCAGACATTGCCTCGCATTGAGTGATTTCCAATGAAAATACTACAGACACATTTGTGCCTTTTTCCATAAATATCGACTTAAATAGTTTTGTTTATATTGCATTAGTGTGCGGTACATCATTAAAATGCCAACTTGCAACTAAGCCGTAATATAAATTACAATTTTTAGGTTAATGTTAAACAAGCCATTTAGTATGCAGACCCTTTTCTTGCGTAAATTGCCAAATATCTAGACACAAAAGCCATTGACCCCAGAGATTTGTTATATATTTGAAGTTATGTTGAAGCCGCGTAGTACTAAAGAATATTTAATATGAGGATTTAGGATAAATTTAAGTTCGTTGAATCCCCTGTTGCTGCGGTGCGGTCTGCCTTGAAGCATACAATTTGGCAGCGGGGCGTATACGCAATGTGCTATTAATATTTAAGCCACGTTAAAGCGATCGGGCGCATGGAGACGATGCTTTAAATTGACTGTGCCACAGCAATTTTTCAACGCTTGACGCGGGTCACTCGTTCCGCCCATCTCTTTGAAAAGGAGGACAGAGTGGGGCAACCGCTACTCGTACTAGAGCTTCGGTTCCACGCGAAACGAGCAACCGCTATTAATTAGCATTTCACCGCAATCTAACGCGCTGCTTGCCCGCACTGAAATATTTATTTTGTGAATGGCAATTGGAATATCAAATGCGATAACCGCAAAGCATTTTGTTCCATACCGACCCCAGAGGAACTCCATCTCTCTCCGATTTTAGTGCGTGTGCTGGTGTCCTTAGCCACATTTAAATATGCAGCTAAATGTTCCGCACAAAGGGTTCACTGCCAGGACATTTGGGATGAGGAAATTGTCCACGGACCCAATTCTCTGAGGGTTTCTTTTTGTGGGATTGCCTTTAACAATGTAGCTGAGTCGTAAGTAGCTTCTCCAAGACACTTAAAGGCTATAGCCCAACTCCAAGATAAGCCTATAGCACCAATTTCCTGTAGTTGTTTAAATTTAGTTTTTGAAAACAATTGGAAAACATCAAATGTAATATTTGCAGATCAATTCCTCGTATATACGAATATATATTTATTAATATAATTAATTATCTTAGTATTGCCATCAATATTAAATGGAAATCGGGAAATCAGCAAAATCCAATCGTCTATTAACGTACTATTCATTAAAAGCATTTATTATTATCATCGGTAAACTACTTTTTGCTAACAGTTCTTTCTTTTTTGCATGCATTTATAATTATTCTTCAAGTTATTTTAGTCGCAAAGATAAATAAATCGTGGTATTCTATGCTATTAATATATTTAGGTAAATATTTATATTTATTTCTCTAATGCACAAAAAAAAAAATCCGTTCCATGGCAACGGTTTGACCAATTCATGGATCCGTTAAATATATTATGTTTTAGTATTAATATGAAATCCATACTCACATATTTATAAAAAGGCAATAGCCAGTGAATCATCGTAATGTTAAGTACGAAAAAGATCTAAAATATTTAATTTTCTTTTTTCTAAGTGTAAGTGGTGTTTCTTCCTTGTAATAGGGATGGAATGATTTGTTATACACAAAAGGAAATGATATTATTTCTAGGCTGAGTAGTACTTATGTATGGACTGTATGTATTTATGTATGTATTAGTCACCCTGTGGACTATGGTGCTTTGAGTTTTTAACTGTAGTTTCTATTGTAACAGCTGACTAGGTAAGAACCATTAAGTGTGCACTATCTGGTATTGTACAGTGCTATTACCTGTTATAAATTTGCATAACTACGCGGTGTCGCATTAAAATGCAATTTGCAGCAAAGTTTGCTCTTTTCACGCCTGCCTTCCATTGGGCAGAAGCAAT